CCGATTTAACTCTTCATAATAAATATAAAATGGGTATTTCTTTATTTAACGCGCATATAGATGGGTGCATTATTAACCACACATCAGTTTCATCAATATCTATTGGTTTTATTGTAATTATAAAAAATAATTAATTTAAAGAAAAATGTCACGTACATTTTGTTTTAAAGTGCAAACGCTCCTATGGAAAAATTGGATTAATAAAAGAAAAAAAAATTCGTATTACAAAATCTGTAAAGTTATACAATTTAAAAATCTATTAATTTCGCTTAATAGTTAAAAAGTGTAAATATTTAATTAAACGTAAATTTATATTTATTCATAATTTTAGATAAATATCTTAATTTATTGTGAATATTTGTATTAATGGTAAATGAATATTTTAAAATAGTTTCTTTTAGTCGTTGTACATATTTCTATCTAAATATTTATTCCGTTCATTTGACATCGATCTTTTTATTCAATGCATATATTCAGCAGTAATTTATTTCATTTTTTTTTTTTTTTATGTTGTTCAAATAAATATTTTTCAAGTGTAAATGTGATATTTTCTCTGGATATCATTTTATCTAATATTTATTCATATATTGTTTTTTTTTTCCAATTTCTATTTCTTATAACAATCTCGTGAATAGTACTTTATTTTTTTAAGTGAACTGAGGATTAAAAACCAAATCCAAATAATGTTCATTACTGAAAAATAATATAACGCTAACAAGTCTTTCATAACTAATTTATTTTGTTTTATTTTTTCTTTGATGATGTGGAATTAATATTACAAGAAATTGTTGGGATGGATTCCGTTGTACATTATGGCATGCATAACATGGATAAATTGGAATTGCGATAACATAAATGTTATGCTAGTGATAGGGTTTAATAGTTGTCATACGTAAACATTAAAGACATTCAATTTATTTTTATAAATATAACTAAACGAAATAAAAACTGGTATACAAAAAAATTGCTTTGAGCTCGGGAGGCAAAAACTCAGACATTGGAAACTATTTATAACCATAAGAGACCTCAGTCACTATCTAGTCAGCATCTTTTTATAGGTCTGTGCGTTTACTAACATTTTTTTTTTTCTCTCCTCTTGGAGTCACATAAACTTAGTCAGAGATAACGGGAATTGCTCCATATCTCATTAGTCATCACCGATAACGTTCGATATCTAGTTACTAATAATCATAGCTGATATTACTAACCATCAGGTGAGAAGTTATCTTTTAAGTATCAGTAAATTATCAAGGTATCTACTTCCATTTTATTTGAACCCTTTCATTGCTTTATAATTCATATCATGTCAAATGTCAAGTCGAATTTTAAGTATTATAAAAAAAAACAATAAAGATTTTTTTAAAAAAATCGAAAAATTAGCACCGTCAACAATGAAATACCAAATACAAATACAGAATTTCGCTTTGAAGGCAAACAGCAATGAAAACAAATATTGCCTAACCTATTGTTAAGATTTCTCACAAATTCCTCGGTTATAACGCCCCAATTTTTAAAGGACTTCAGTCTCAGATCAAAATTATTTTTTTATTTCATTTCAATAATGAACGAATTGGGCTAGAAAGAAATTAGTAATTTTTTTTTTTATCAGAACCTAAAGAAAGCCATCAAACAATTTGAAAAATTATATTTAACTTTGTTTGTTTAATAAAAAAAAAAGTAAAATACTAATATCATAGTATCTAAATTTTATCAAGGAAGGAGATGGTCCGGGTTGTCGGTCATAAATGGACTAAATAGTGGCAAAACTATTTTATTAAAAGCATACGTTTCGACCCTATTTTGCAGGTCTTCTTCAGGGCTAGAACGGACAAGATACAAAAGATACAGAGAATTGTGGAAGTTACACAATATGTAGATAAAAAATTACAAACAATGTGAATAACTGAAGTAAGTAAACTTGTTACTTAGCTTACTCTGTTTATATAACTTATTGTTCTTAATATTTTAATGTACTTACCGTTTATAATTTTCATAAGTCTATTCACATTGTTTATAATTTTAATGTACTTACCGTTTATAATTTTCATAAGTCTATTCACATTGTTTATAATTTTTTATCTAAATATTATTTAATTTCTACAATTCTCTATACCTTTTGTATCTTTTCCGTTCTAGCCCTGAAGAAGACCTGCTAAATAGGGTCGAAACGTATGCTTTCAATAAAATAGTTTTGAAAATATTTAGTCTATTTATGACCGACACACTAGACCATCTACTTCCTCAATAATACAACGGTCAACTATTTAGTATTCAATAAATTTTATCCAAAAACAACATAAATTGCTTAAGAAATTAAACATTTTAAAATATATATAAATAAAATAAAATCTAATAGCCATTTAAGCACCCTGAGACACTTCAGATACACACACAACATAAAGTCTTTAGGTAAAATATAGACTTTTGCTGACACTTTCTCTATATAACTATCTACAGTAATGATTAACTTTTCTAAGGAAAATATATTTTACAAATAATAAATACTAAAATTACTAATAATATATTTTTTTGTGTTCTTTCAGGAGATAATATCAGATAAAACATAGCGCCGTTTCAAAATTAACGGAGAAAATACCGTTAATATTTTTCAATTAAATTATATTCATAAGCATAATATATTTTTCAATTATTTGTTTAATAAACTTTTTAAAATTTTTATAAATAATAACAAGCGACGAACTATTGGCCGAAATTGACACAAGTTTATGCGACTGTTAAAGGCGGCAAAATAATTAAATGGTTAGAATAGAAAATAATGTTTATTTTTATTTTTTAAATAATGTGGAATTGCTTAATTTATTGCTATTATTATTATTGCTATATTTTATTCCAATAGAAACTTCTGTGAGTAATAAATGATGGAGAATATACGATAACGTATCCTATCTGTCGGAAGTCTTAACTTCCCCCTTGATCTAGCCTACATTAGCTTAAATTAATTAATGTCTAGAGTACATAAGTTCAACCGTTTAAGGTAAAATGAAATTAAAATCAAGGTAGAACAAAATTATAATTTTCAAACGTCCCACTCTAGATCAAAGAGGCTTTCATAAAATTTGCTTCTGAGGAAAGCGTCCCAACTATCAAGTAAACAACTCGTTTAAGGGATGAATAAGAGTAAAAAATATAAACTTTTTTTTTTCTTCCTCTCTCTTTCGTTAGGTTAATTTTCTTTCGGCGTTCCTTTTAATTGGCAAAGCTTATATGTTTTTGTTAACTAAAGCTTATTTATTTAGACAAAGGTGCGTTCTGATCAATGGAACAAAAGCTTCATTTCCTTATCATCGTGAAAAAAAAAATGTGCGAGCTCATTTAATTTAGGTGAATAGATAATCATAGATAAACCGGTGAATAATGTGAGGGCCCGAAATCTTCTTTCTTGACGACGATTGAAAAATTGGTTGTCATTAATAGAAAATTGTAGTCCCTCACCCCTTGCCGTCCTGAATTTTAGTCCATTTACCAATAAATATCAACCAGAGAATGTTAAATGAACCGTTAAAAATAAAATAAATAATTGAATTACATCAAATTACATAATAATAAGCGATGAAGTATAATGTTGGCCGCACTGTTCTCTTCCAGTTTTAACAACTGTAACGTTTATCTTGTCACGCCGAAATCGTGAGGACCACTTATTTATTTGTTAAATATTTGTCAAATCGTATGATTGGTGATGTAATTCATTAAAATATAAAATGCACGAAAAATATACGGTTTGTTTCTTATAATTGATAAAAGAGACCCAAATATAAACAAAAAAAATCGTTGGAATGTAAATCATTATCCAAACATAAAAGTAAACAAATCATTTATACTTTTCAAAATAAATACTTAATGCATTAAATATTTCAGAGAGATTTACATGATCCATAGACTAAATTTAACTAATTAAATGTCAATACTATCTAATATATACCAACATAGGTACACTTTTAATGAATCTAAGCATTTAGTTACGTATTTGTGAATTATAAAAATATCACAAACTCTTTTACATGTCAGAAATAATTGAATTAAGAGCACAATTATTTGATTTTAGAAAAAGAAAATCCATCAAATTACTGATTTAATTTTTTGAAATATTAACATAATGACTTTTGACAATAAAAGCATGAACTTTTTATTTATTAATAATACAAAATATTAAAAAATGAATAAGAAAAAACCATTCACGTAGATAATACATAAGGGCTTCATAAATATATTAGAGAATGAAATGGTAATAGAATTCTATCAACAATTCAAAAGGGGAGAAAGTTTCCTTCGAAATTCGCGAGTTTTTTCTGAAACAATAAAGCTTTTACCAAATATTATAAACTTGCCATCGAACAGCTACGAAATTGATCATTTTTTTTAACAATATTTATCTGAATCAAAACAAATATTTAAAAATATAAATAAATGAATCTTTTTTTTAAATTCATAAACATTGCAAATTGTTCATTACAATTGTCGATATAATTGTGTATATTATATATTATCAATTATTTAATTTGAAATTTTATTTAAATGTTATTTTATTTTTCAATTTAGTTAATTTTTTAATTTAATTTTAATAACATTTTTTTTATTCTTTATTTAGTTCATTTGTATATTTTATCATATACATTTAAAAATTAATCAACAAAATTAATAAAATAATTATCAAATTATTTATTATTGAGTTTTAAATACAATACAAGTAACGAAGTGTTCTGAATATCACATTATAAAGAAATATATAAGACGAAATATATATATATTTTTTTTATTATTGTTTTATTATGACACAATTTTTATTATAATTATATACTTTAAAGGATTATAATATTAAAATATTGTAAAACAAAACATAGAATGATTATTATGTTGTATTAAAGTTAAAATTATAGAATGATATTAAAAATAAAATTATTTTTATTTTAAAAATAAATAATAAATCAAATTAATTTTAAATTGTTTTTATTGGATAAAAATATATTTAAAAAATGACTTACAGATGCTTTGTGTAGGGGGGCCGATTCTTGCCTGTGCTTCCTGCCTGAAGATGACATGTTGAAGGTTCACTGACTACTGAGAAGCCGGCCCGCGAGTTGAAGGGAGGGGTGGGGGGCGGGAGAGGCGGTGGAGGGGTGGTCATGTTGGAGGTGGTGGGGAGCGGGTCATGCTGGAGGTGGTGGGAGCAGGTCATGTTGTCCTACCGCCTCCGGTTCAGGGTTACCCTTCCCTCTATCATCAGCCTTTTTCCTTTTTGCCGCACACTTTTTTTCCTCCTTCCCCTGATTCCTTTCTCTTTCTTCCGAGGGTCCTGAGGATGGGAGGGGAGTGGGGAGAAAGATCACGTGTGGAGCGCATGATACGCCTTGCGGTTCGTCCTCTTCCGTAATTCATCTATTGCGAAATAAAGCCCTACTAAACAATACAAAAAGGAAATTTCTTCAAATATAAATGAAGTTACTGCATTCTCGACTAATTAAAATTCACAATACCCCATTTTACAATGTTTTACTAAGCGCCCACTTCCCAAGTAAAGTGGAAATAAAGGAGGATTAGAAAAAACAAAAAGCTTCCTATGGTCTTCAGGGCAGCGGACAAAACAAATATGCCGGCAGACAGTTAGTGACTTGGGCATCACCCTTGACAGGCATCTAACACAATTCTGCCACTACCAGAAGAAGATCAAGTTGGTGCAATCAGTCTTACAGATTAAATCATCTGTTAACTTGACCAAATCCATCCTTCCGTCTCAAATTATTAATGTATTAAAGTATTTTAAGACCGACGTAGAGTGCCGATGTTATCCAATATATAAACAGCAATTAAGCTCCAGTAGTTTCAGAAAGGAGTGCTGAGACGCATTGTGAGACACACTTCATTAAAGAGGACTAAAACAGACAAACTTCACAAGACCTACCGACAATGAGAGACTTTATAAGCCGCAGACACGTCCAATATTTAATAACCTGTAATATGCGACAAATCAGATTTTTAGGACACTTACTCCGACGGGACGGCCACAGAGGTATCAAACACTTACAAAAACCTCAGACTTGACTACCCTGAGGTCTACTAATTAACTGAACCAACACAAGACAACTAGTGACCCCCATCACTTGTACATAGATTCGGCACTTATAAATTTTCAAAATTTTAAACTTCTCATAACTCCTTTGCAAGGAATACCATCTTTGCAGTACAAAGGATTCTATCACACATCGTTAAATTATGAAAATTTCAATTATTCATCTTTGGGTCATAGAAAAAAAATTAAGAAAAACTAATCGAAAATAAGACTTTGTATTATGAGTTATAGAGTAACAAGAAGAGTTCCAGCAAACTTGGTTTGTGCAATTAAATCGGTGTACCAAGACCCAAAGGGCATTGTAAGACTTAATGGTCAGAAATCGCGGCCTTTCCATTTTTATAAGCGAGTAAAGCAGGGAGACAGCCTAAGCCCACTACTATTTGTCCTCCTTATGGAAGAGATATGAAAGGTGTGCAAAAGGAGATGCCCAAGAGCAGTAGTAGGTTTTTGGAACCTATCTCCAGTACTGGCTCAAGTGATGATATATGCGGATGATATCGTACTAATAGTTGAATCTGAAGAGGCTATACAGGCATCCTTGGATGAATGGAATGAAGAACAGAAGATAGGAGATTTACATAAGGATAAACCCTAACAAAAGCAAAACCATGTGTGTCGGAAGACAAAACGTAGAGCCTGGGATTTCGTTTAATGGTAAACCCCTAGAACTTAAGAATACTTATACGTATCTAGGGACCATAATAAGTAAATATGATAAAATAGACCAGGAGGTCCTAAATATAGTGAAGACCTCCACCCTCAGCTGCTGATTTTTTGGAAGAAGTGGGTGTGGTAAGGAACTGAAGAGTTTGGCAGAATCTATTATTTTAGACTCATTAGGAATTCTACACCACCGCCTGTATTAATTCTGGTTACTTTGTAGTGAGCTCTGCAGACAAAAGTGAGAGGGAAGAAAATGAGAAGAATATAACAATGAATAAATAAATTATTATGAACTAAGGCTGTGTTTATCTCTTATTTTATATTTTATTTTATATATTTATATATTTTATTTTGTATATTTTATTTTATATATTTTATTTTATAGATTTCATTTTGTATATTTATATTTTTTTCATATATTTATATATTTTATTTTATATATTTTTTATTTGTGTCTATCTCATATTTTTTCTCTTTTATTAAATGGTATCGATAATGACTGATCAGTATGCCAAGTGATTTAGCAACGCAGTTGAGTAGCCGTACAACTAAATGGTGCTTCATAATATAGGTTGATTGGGTATTAGTCAATAGAAATACAAAAAAAAAAATTTTCATGCAGACGTTTCGGCATAAGTTTCAAGCCTTCATTAGAGCTAAGCTAAGACCATATAATAAATAAATACTGAAAAGATAATTAGGTAGGTATGTGTAAAATAATTGGAGTAGTGTATTAGCCCATTTATAAATCCCTAACTTTGTTACCATTATTTAATCATTCCTTACTTAAACAGAGTGATTGTAACTGTTGCTTTATAACTTTCTAAATTGATACATCATATATTTTCTATTCCATATATTTTTATGTTAATTTCAACTTACATATGCCAGTATAATTATTTTTACATATACCTGTCTTATTATTTTCTCAGCATTTATTTTTTGTCTGATCTTTGCTCAGCCCTGATGAAGAGCTGAAACTTAAGCCTAATCGTCACAAAGAAAACAAATTTTCTTTTTGTGTACTTCTAATGACTGCAATTCCCAATCAACGTTTCCCAATCAATTTCTTATAAAAATTTAGTCCTCCGATTCTCCACCATTATTATTTACTATACATAAATTCTACCATGATATTCCATGTTCCAAGTCTAATATGCTTTAGTAACCGTTCAGACTGTCCGAATCCGAGGCTATTTGGCATACTCTGAATCAGTTGAACTACTGCGTTGCACTACTGGTGATTGACCCAGTAGGAGAGGCCTCCTATCCTTGGGACAACTGGTCTCCTGAATATTTATGTCTCAGGAGGAAGGGTGGCTATATAACCCAGCACTGGGTTTCTCCCAACCTGGAGGATCGCCACATCCCTACGCTAATGAAACAGGCCGGTGGCAATGAAAGGATACGAGGAGACCTGGTAGTTCCAGCTTTGAGGAAAAAAATCTAAAGGAGGCAGTTGGGATGGTTTGGTCATCTATGCGTGGATGAGGACCGTGATCCAAAGATGTTTTTTGAGGCCAGGCCGACCGGACGCCGTCTAGGAAGTTCTAGATTCCTATGAATGGACCACATCTCCAAAATTGGTGAAACGCAGGGGGAAGCCCATCAATTCAATGAAAGCGCTGGCTCAGGATCGAGAGGTTTGGCAGTCCTGACTCCATGCTGAGAGGCACTAAAGAGGATGACAAAGAAGAAGAAGACTTAATGATACGTATACTTTAATATTTTATAAACACTTGTGTTTATGATGGAGAAAAAAAATATATAAATAACATTAATAAATCACAAGCCTTATGAATGTAACTATTTACATGGACATTACACTTTTTAAGTTCTTCTCTGGATTAAAACTACCAATACCCAATCAGGTCTAAGCTATCCAGGGCCAGTTTGTCTTGTGTTCTTGTTGTCAAATTGCACGTTGTTGAATTTAATTAAAGTATTGAAAAATTTGTAAAATAGAAGCTGAATTTGGCTAATCAATAATTTCAAGTTTCATTGAATTGTTATAAAATCTTTGTTGGTGCCCAATAAAAAAAATTTCCACTTTTTTAAGGACAGACATACGCGTCGAGTTACAAATTTAGTTTCCTCATCGGGAAACATCTCACATTGCAGGTAATTTTGGAAGTTCTCTGCTAATTCTGTGCATTCCCTCTACTGCAAATTTTTCGATTCCACCCATTCTTTGAAAATTGTTCGAAAACATCTATTGAGGTCAATAATTAACAAACAATAGTTGCCACCATTGTCCTGAGGGCCTTTGCAATTAATATTTGTCGACGTTTCTCAGTACTTGTTACATGGTGCCCCTGGAGGGCTTGTATGTTTTTAATTTTAAGAGAACATTTAAACCAGGAAATAAAGAAAAAAAGGCATGCAGAGGTTTGCGTGTGTATATAAAGGTATATAAAAATATTTTAAAAAATATCTAAGTGCGCCGCATACTTGGAAGAGCGGCAGATATGATTTTATTCTAAGTACTCAACACAAGCACGGCACTGTCTTCCATATATACAGTTTCAGCATTAACTCAAAGGACACCGCTTATTTAAAATATCGGTATGCGGTATATTCATTGTGTGTAAATAATAAATACAACTAATGCCTTGTCTACGGAATAAATTAAAAAAATAAAGTAGCAAAAAAAATACTAATGAAATATTATTATCATTAGTGACAGGTCCTTTCAACATTTAAAAAAAAACTATTTAGGAAATAAAGACCAATTTCTCCATCCACAAATTTATTGCCCTCCCCCTATTTCAAAATAATGTACCCCATTTTGACAACGCTCTCGCGATTATTTCAGGTGAAATTCTCATTTAAAAGGAAAAATATTTTTTAAAAAAATAGTGAATTCCTGGCATGGGCATACGCAGATGAGGGGAGGGCCTTGCCTCCTCTAAATATCACTGATGTTACTTGATGATTGTAATAGCCTAATGTATTGTGCCTTTAATATTCTGGAGAAACAAACCAATATTATATCTACGATCTTTTAAAGCTTTTCTTTTTTTTTTTCTAACTCTACAAAATGTTTATTTAATCAATTTACATATATAGTATACATAACAATACAATATATACCAGTAACAAATTCCTTCCACTGCCCGAGGGCAATCTTTTAAAGTAACATTAATATTACATCTCATATAGATACATATTAATTATGTAAGTGGGAGGGAAAATAATATTTTTTCTTGGAGGGATGGCATGCGCCATCGGCCTTGGGGGAGATGAGCACCTCTGATAATAACTATTATGACATGATTAACAAGAAATGTTAATGTAGTTCTGTGTCATAAAA